TGACTGTTGCAAATGTTCATTTCTTCGAAAAATATGCCCGTTATTACTTTTTCTGCACACGCGGGTTTTCAACATTCAAATGTTCATAACTTCATTCATACTCGACTTTCCAAAGCTAATCAGAAACATTATGACCAGCGCTTTCGAAAGAATACAAAATATTTTCTCGAAGATCACTTTCTCAAAAATAGTCCCGTTGTTCCGTTTTTCAGGGGTTTGTGGTCCGATTTTTGAGAAGGCGCGAGTTTTCGACATTCAAACGTTCATAACTTCCTTCATATTAACTTTTTGCAGATTTCTCAAGGCTAATTAGAAACTAGAGAATGGCGTTCTCGAAAAAAGGTTAAAATCTCCTGAACGAACTCTTCTTCAAGAAATCGTCCCGTTGTTCCGTTTCATTCTCTATGGCTTTTTAGCCATTCTTCTGAAGCGCGAGTTTTCAACCTTCAAATGACCATCAGTTTCTTAAAAACTGGCATATTGAGAAGCGGTAACAACCATTGAACCAATAAGACCAATACCTTATAATATATGCTACAATATTTTCATAAGAAGGCTTTTTTCTGCCAGAAGTTTCTATTAGGGCTAAGAGGTCAGTCCGCCAAAATCGCTGTCCTTTCCCCGTTTTGATTTGCTCTGAAAGCATGAGTTTCTCTGAAGAAAGTTGTTCGCTCACAGTTCATTGAAACATGACGTATCTTGGTGAGAAATTTCACTCCAGAATGGGTCATTCAGTCGTCTGTGGTGCATAGTCGCAGTGATAGTTGAAAGTCTGTCCTCCTTTGCCACTTAGTCATGCCTTGGTACCTTCAAATTTTGTGATAAAATCTTGAGTTTACGAACCCCCCCCTCCTCCATTCACCCCCTCGTTGTTCTTTGCCCAACGGGCGGTTTCACCATGGGTAAAAGAGCCTACGCCACTGTCTCAGCTTCCCTTTTAACCAATCGCTTCGCTGAAGCACACTTCCGTCGGCTGGTCTGAAAAGTGTTTCCCCTTTTCTTCATTTGCGGTTTATCTCACGTCATTGCAGTCAATACAAAAAGATGATGTGAGGTTATAATCTTTGGACATAGAGTAAGTGGCCTTTCACACAAAAATTCCTAGAGAAAATCCTGCGATCTCAACTTAGGCTGGTTTTTTCATAGGCAATTCGCACTTATTCAACACATTGTCACATTGGAGACTTCTCTAATAACACCTAACTTTTTGTTATTTCAGGGGATTTCATAAGTGGAATCATAGTAGCATGTACAGGGCGGGCAAAAATGACGGTAACAAGATAATTCGTTCATAGAAAATCAATGAAGCTTCAACGGCACAAATGGACAACACATATTTATTCATGGAAAGATTATAAAGAGAAAACCGCTTCACTCTTCAAAATGGCCGCCCTCTGCGTTGAATGCAGGAGCGAAGTCTTCCTGGGAAGACATCAACGCTTTGTGTAGATAGTCTGCGTCGAGGCTGTCCAGGTTTTCTGGAGTGACATTTTTTAGCTCGTCGACATTTCGATGTTGGGAGGGCAGGCTTCGGTCTCCAGCCCGCTCCATCCCGAATAATTCATAGGGCTTACGCCGGGGGAACTAGGCGGCCACTCCTCGCATGAGATGAAATCTGAGAAGTTTTGTCGACACCAATCTTAAACAAACTTGGCCTTGTGCGCCGGCGCACCGTCCTGCTGGAGTGTCCTATCGACGGTCTCTATGGCACAGTGCATCAACATGGTTCGAAGTAGTTCTAGGTGTTCCGTGCTGTCAAATTTTATACTTTGGGAAACAAAGATTGAAGGCGTCTTGTACTCCGATGTGATGCCAGCAAAAACCATCACTGATTTTGGATTTGATGTCTTTTGTATGACTGACGTTGGTCTAGGCAGTTGTGTATATTCTGCCATTTCGTTTATTCAAAATAGGCTCAACCGTAAACACTTTTTATCAGTGAAAGAAATCGTCAAGTGACGACCATTGCGGAATAGAGGCATCAATCTTTTGCACAGCTCCTTTATTTTCAGCTTCCCGCGTCGGTCACAAATTGGACTTTCCTCCGTTTGTAGGCCTTCATTTTGAGATGTTTGTTGACGATGTTTCGCAAAGGCCACGCTTGATCCCTATTTCTATGGACAAATGGCGAGCTGAACGCGCCGAGTTCCAGCGCAACTTCCAGCGTACCTTGCGAATGTTACTCTTGGTAGTAACAGTAGTTTTCCTTCCGCTTCCAAGTCGATCGCTAGTGGTTCCTAACTTCCTAAACCTTGCAATGGTGGTCGATATGAGCTCTCTGGAGACACTCAGCCCCGCTATGTCACAAACAGATGACCGTTTCACGGTGTGCTGAAGCCTTAGCCATTTTAACAACTCTGCCTATAGTGCAGAATTGAAAGGAAGTTTCCAGGCAACATAAATACAAAACACTTACATTGTAAACTCCTAGCGATTAAGGCGAAAAATTTTGCGGGCTGCGCACTTGTTACCGTAATTTTTTCCTATCCTGTATGTTGAGGGTGATGAAGAAAGTTCGTAAAAACGTCAAAGATATGTACCTTGTGCAGAATGTCGCCTGGCGACTGCCACGTCAACCTCTCTAGTTTCATGTTGCTCTGACAAAACCACAAAACAAGCAGCTCGTGAGCAGATTTCTCAAGACGATGCAGAGATGACACTATAGATTTGTCACTCTCCGTTTTCATCAAGAGCTGGAATTTTCCAATTTATTTCATTTTTCCATGCATTTTTCTTATTGAAACATTATATACAATCAAACAAACCAGTAGATGAGCTCTCATGTCACATATTTGTCGAATACCATTTGGTAAATTGCCAATTGACTGAAGAAGTCTGAAATGCACTGGAGTAGCCGCCTCCCGAACTTCGTGTGCTAAGCTCGGATTCTGGAACACGTCAGATCCGAAATCATTTGCATTCAGCTTAACAATTGAAAGATTTAACGACAAACAGGAGGTCGAGAAAGTGGAAATATACCAACTGCGAAGGGAGGCATGCCTCTCAAGGAGACGGGAGGTTGCGCAATTCACTGCCAAGAGCAGTGCCTTAGCGGGCCAATAGGGCTTACCCGCCGGCGCGCGCGGCTCACCACACTCACCAAGCGGCTGAGTAATAAAAAAAGCGTGTTGCCCACATTGTTATCGTCACATTTTCCTCTAATTTTTTCAGATAACGCGTCAGTAATCCAAGCATGAAGTCTGCTGGCATGACACTGGCCGTCGGAATCACGTGTTAGGTATCAGACTTTGCGAACCCAGCGAGGCGCTCGCGAATCCGGGTACGAGCGATGAACCAGCGGTGCGCCAGCGAATCGTGCTATGCACCAGTGGTTCAAGCGATGTACTAGCGTTTGAAAGTGGCGAGAGCCCTTCTCATTCGCATGTTCACTTTCGCACTTATCCAGGCTCACGAGGAATGGGAGAGCGTGAGAGGCCAGGGAAAGCGCGACAGTGAACGTGCAAACGAAATGGGCTACCGCTACTTTCAAAAACTGGTAAGTCGGTGGCGTTACTTTCGAATCGCTGGTGCATGCGATGCAAATGCGAAGTTTGCGAATCCATCGCGTCGCTTGCAAATCGCTCGTACGCAGCGATTCGCTAGTGACTCGTTGGATTCGCAATGTATTGACACCGGACTAAACGAACTCGTCTTGGTCACCGGCTTGTCGAAAACGGAAACCAGCGCGGGAAGAGGTTCCATTTCTGTTTGATTCCCATTTTTGTATTTTCTTCTGCACTTGCACCTTATTATCCCACTTCCGCTATAAAAATTCCCAAGCAGTGATTACAAAAGTGGAGCTTATGTGAATAATATAATGCACTATACCAACGTTTACTTGGCTGCCCGGAAGGCGAGGTGTAAGCGTTTCACGACCACGGAAGGTTATAGCTAGTGCTTACTACGGGAAGGATAAGGGTCGAATGGCCCCATACAAATGAAAACATATCATCGTATGCACTGTTTCAGCCGATTTGTGCCCATCCTCACGATCTCTCCCAAATCTGACCAAACATTACCGCTGAACGAATCACAGGAGTTTTTTGTTCCCTCACACCACGTTTAACACAAGTGAAAAATAGGCCTCAGCAGCAGCGCTTAGTAGGAAGCCCCTGAGTGACGTTCCTCACCGAAGTCTGGCACTATGGTTAAGGTGTGGGCTTGGACTTCGGATCAGTGAGTTCGATCCCTCGCTCGTTTTCCCATTTTGCGCGCCCACTAACTCCTGAAGCGCAGCCTCTTCACGTTTTTGAGTGAAACGAATGTGAATCTGTGTTCAAGCAGTCCAATAACTTCCTGGGGCCGATTTCTAGAGAAAATTCGAGATTTTGAATTAATCTCAAAAAGTGGGCGAGTCACTCATTGATGCTACATATCCATAGCCGGTAGTTCCAGGGTTGACCTATTTTGGACGACGGCGACCCTTTAAATTTGAAAATAATAAAATGTGAGAGTTGAAATCATGCTAACAGAAAACCAGACACTGCTTTACACTCTTCAGAAACCAAAAAAACGTATATCGTTTCAAGGCTATGTAGGCTTCGATAATAGGCTGATGGATGAATGGATAGATACCCACCCCCACCCACCTATTTCGAAATTTGGTCGAAATCTCAAATTTGGCTACAAACTTGTCTCTAGGGGTATTTCAATCTCCAGAACACGAATATCACACCTGTTTGCTGCAAAAACGTCTGCCAAGAGTTCTGTGGGCTCCATGTGCAGTCTGTAGTGAGTACCGCAGAAACTGATTAGAAACTCTTCGCAAAGTCTTTGCACGGGTTACTACAGGCAAGCATTGATCGAGTAAGGTAGCTGGGAGCCTTTTCATCATTTTGCAGCGAAGGCAAAAAAGAGAACCCGCCAGGGAATCGATCCTACGACGTCTCGCACGTGAACCCGGACTACTACCGCTGCACTACTTTCCTTCATAACTCCATTCGGAAAATCGTTTGGCAGATTTGGAAAGCAGATTCGAGATCAGCGTCCAAAAACGCATCCACCGGTGTAGGTCTCTTTACATATGGCCACTTCGACCAATCATCCATTCCTGGTGAGCAGGACTTCGAAAGCACTCCGCCCCAAAAGCGATCACTAACTTAGTTGGTGATTTGGACGAGCTGCGTTGCCAGCAGCGGCACAACTGGAGCAACTCGATTGGAGTGTGGTTTGGCATGGTGCCACCAAACGCGTTGCGCTGAACTCGTTCATACGTCCGCTTTCTGAGCTGTTACCTGTTCATGAGTGAAAACCAACGGCCAAAAAAGGGGTCCCGTTTTGCGTTTTCTTGACGGATTTCTCCTTTTTTCGCCACTGGCGTACCACTGAGCACCACCACGTCTCCTTAAACCCTTCTTGAACCTATCGTAATCATTGCCTTCAAGCAGAGATGTGCGTTACACTGATGTGAGTATTTTGTGCAGAGAACGCACGAACGAGCGCTGCGCTGCCCTCCGACCTGAGTTTCACCGGCAGTACATTTATCAAGTAGGAAAGAAAATTTTTAACCACCACCAACCAAAATCTGAAATTTATTTTTTTTTCATTCTTCATTTATCTTGGACTCCTGTCATATCGGCCATCAGAGTCAATAACAATATGCCATCCTTCGGAAAGTAAGTTGATACCACATTTGTAAAAATTAGAAGAATTTCGGAATCGGATTTGCGATCCTTTTCTGTCATGTTTCGCGTTCTCCAGATGATGCGCGAGCACGCAGGAAAGATTAAAGACGTGCATGGACAAGGTTGGGGAATGTGGTGGACGAGCTGTCGTGGTCGAGCCTAGTTCGAGAGTCCGGCGTGAAACAGAAGACATGCGCAGCCGCGCGTCCTCGTGAAGCAAGTTGAGTTGTTGCTGTTTTTTGAGTTTTTTTTCGCAACCGCTTCGAGCAGCTAGCACTGGGAGCGCTTTTCATCGTCGATCCTGCAGGCAGAACATCACCCATGGATAACGCCACCACAAGTCCAAAAATTTGACAACATCACTATTTTCCCAAAAATGTCAGATCGAGGCAGTGAAACTCTAATTTCGCCTACTCCGAGTCACCGCCTATTCCTGCGTATGGTAAACACAGCAGATACACTTGTCTTCGTCAATGGCCACATGCCGCACGCACCTATCGCCTCTGCATTGCGACTAGAGATAAATATTCTCTAATTTCTAAGGAACTTGAAGGACGTATATGTAGAGTTCCGCACATGCTCGATCATTGCGCGGACAACGTCAAGATGGACAGTAGTCTTGCGTTGCGTCAGAGAAATCAAAGTCTCCACTGCGGCGCGTTCATGCCATCACGAAACAGCCACGTGTGAGATCCTACCCCAGACTGCCACGGAACTGATTCTGAGTCTCGCGTGAGCCGATTTCTCCAGGCGAGGTTTGTACAGGATGGGCGAAAGTCCTTCTATACAATAGAATCTGCCTACAAATAACTGCCTTCCTTTTATCATACTATTTATTGGTCCACACTCAAGAAATTTATGACTTCAGGTGTCTCTGAATCTATTTGATAACATGACACAACACTTACATATTTCGAATTCTTTAGTTAAGATCCGACAGAGGAACTG